ATATACATACACACACACATACATACACACACATACATACATACACACACACACATACACACATGCATACACACATACATACATACATACATACATACATACATACATACATACATACATACATACATACACGCACGCACGCACGCACGCACGCACGCACGCACGCACGCACGCACGCACGCACGCACGCACGCACGCATGCATGCATGCATGCATACATACATACATACATACATACATACATACATACATACATACATACATACATACATACATACATACATACATACATACATACATACATACATACATACATACATACATACATACATACATACATACATACATACATACATACATACATACATACATACATACATACATACATACATACATACATACATACATACATACATACATACATACATACATACATACATACATACATACATACATACATACATACATACATACATACATACATACATACATACATACATACATACATACATACATACATACATACATACATACATACATACATACATACATACATACATACATACATACATACATACATACATACATACATACATACATACGGAAAAGGGTGAGTGATAGTACTTATCACACGGTGTCTGTTACATTTGTACTGGGGAAAAAACAACCAATTATGCATAAAAAGGTGAGGGCGCTGTATACCATTGCATAATACCAGAAAGAAAATTCTGCATACATGCAAAATCTCTCAACTAACAGTTCATAAACGTGCCAATAAGGCGTTTTTATTAAACAGCTAAACTACTTCCTACATTTCTTCTGCATTTAAAGAAACCCGTATTGTTGATATATTATTGTAGATTTATTGTTTTCAGATATATTGTTTCAAATTAACTCGGCCATCTAAGTTTGTAGAAACCAATTTACAAACACCGACAGCCCGACAGACTGTCATCACGTTCAGACAAAAATCTGCCAAAATGAAAGGAAATGCTTCCGGGTGTCTGCTGCAAGTGCAAACTGACTGACTGTCCAACCCTACAAGGAAGGCTACCTATTTCCTGATGCTGTTTTCTCTGTTTTCCTCAATATTATGGAGTAACTTACACATTTCGATAATTAAAAGTAAGCAGTAGTGCGTTTTATTTGTTGTATGTATCGGTAAAGAGGTGTTTGTGAAACTTGTATGCGTTGTTTCCACGTAAATGGAGTTTGGTAATCGGTACTTAGGACTAAGAATAGACGAAAGAAGGCTTAAACAAAACAGACTATAACCGGATGCTGAAATGCTAAGAAACGAATGATCAACTTTGTAATCTTTAGTTTCGATTTTTTGTTGTTGTGATTATTAGTTTAAAACGTTAAGTTTGTGTCGTTTGCTGTTTGTACATTGTGTGTCTTTTAAAATGTAGATAAGATTTCATTTAGTAAGTAATGAGTTTGCGACCTATTAAGTATTAAGACTTGAGTGACTTACACTTACTCGTCCATAGCTAGCAAAACCGCATCATAAAAAAAAAAATTGTAATATCACATATCTTTTTCAGTTCTTCTAAGTAATTCTTAATTCAACACGGTCTGTCGTTAAGTTGTATACCCTAGAGCAACAGTTGGTTAGTCTATCTTATTGACAAATACAGCTTTGGAGCAGAAGGTTATAGTAATACTTTAGTTAGAATGAGCTAATCAACGGATGAGACCTTTACAGTTACTGTTACAACAAAACATCTGGGAGAAAGGCGAGAGAAAGACCAAAAAAAAAGATATGGATGAAGCTGAAGCTGCAAAAAGATGAACAAATCCATCACCCAGGCCACATGAGAAGCACAGGATAAATAAAGAAAACCACAATACTGAGCCACAACCTGGTATCAGTGAGATAGCAAAAGATGAATAAGAATTTAACAGATGAATGGGACATAAAGAGTATAGAAAAGGAGAAAACTGCAATGCATCATCACTGTGGACAAATTGGAAGGTAATAGGGAGATGGAGAGAGAGAAGGTGATGGACAGTTTGACATCATGGCATGGAAGATCATCAATGTGAGAATTGATTTAAAGTACAGGAGACAGAGGTGGAGAGACATAACTAGCAGCCCCACATAACATGGACTGTCACAAGCTCTCAGTTATGCACACCTGATCACAGTTAACAGATCAGTTGTCATGTATATATAATCTGGTAATCTTAGATTCAGCTTCATGGCAAATGGGTCACCCCATAGTTGCTCTGCTCCTGTGCCAACAAACAACACACAGAATGTCCACCACTGTCCCTAGGGGAAAAATTAACACAATCTGCAGTAAAAGCATATCCACCAGCATACACACATATCAAATCATAAGGCAGCCACCAAAAGTGCTAACACAAACAGTCTGACATTAGAAATGCAGCTCATCATAGACAGAAGCAACATTTACTACAGATTAGCAGTTGCACACATGATAAATTTTTATCACAAAAGGCACCACCAGTTCTGCAGCAACAGGCCACATGCCATTTTCTCAATCTACAGTTCACAACACTACATATGATAACAGTCGAAAAAATACTCTAAATTGAATCCACAGCTCACAGTGTCACGCTATGAACTCTGCTCAGTAGCTGGGTGACAAAACAATATCTTTTCAGTCTACAAATGGAGGAAAATGCAACGGCCACCATCTGTCAAAGGCAACAAAAATTGCCACGACTAAAAACAATGACCTTGCCTATCGTCCATTTTGACCAGCAGTCCATTATATTTATGTATGTGTGTGTGAGAGAGAGAGAGAGAGAGATGATTAACTCTTTGAGTCCCAGGGGGTTTAGCATCAAAGGCCCAGGGGGTAGTAAATAAAGACATAAAATCGGCGCATCATGCGTTCATTGGGCTTCTAGTTAGGAAGCCATGAACGTATGATGTGTTCCTTGGGATTCAGAGAGTTGGATGAAATCTGTACTATTGGCGTTATTACAGAAATGAAATCAGTAGGCACAGCATAATTTCAAAAATCAGCTGTTGTGAAACAAGCATGCACCTGTGGTTGTCAGAAGATTGTGCCATTTGTATTTAGAGACACCCATCCAATGGTTTTTACATTGGATACTGCCCATGGTGAAGGACTTTGAATGCTCATTTTACTGAAGAGGTGGGAAATGATAATATAACAGATTACGGTCCTTGCGACTTTCATTTTTTTTTTTTTCAAATCCTTCAAAACTTATTTAGAGGCGGTTGATTTAATACTGCCACAGTCATAATAATACCAGATGGTTCAAGGACAGTATCCACCATCTTCCCAAGCAAGCTGAATGCTTACTGCAACTCCTTTTGATGCCCTAGATGCATGATTGCTCTCTACCAGTTCATCATCATCCTGTCTTGTTATACGTCACCCAGTACTTGCAATCTAATCCTCCATTTAATTCCATCCTGTGCAATCCTTTCGATGTCATCGGTGGAGTCCAGTTCAGTACTTCTCATCTCTCTCATCGGTGTTCTTCTTATGGTTTCTTTTGTACATCCTCCTTTCCTTAGTCCATTTGTTTTCCATTTTAGTGCCTTTTTTGGGTGATTCTCTATCCACTTCTCATGATGTGCCTAATATATTGCCATTTTCTTTTTCCTCTTCTTCTTTTTCCTTTTTGTTCTTTTTTTAAAAATTGTTTAAATAACTGTTAATACTAGCAGATGTTCCTAATAGTTTCTTTATTTCATTCTGCCACATGAATATCATCATCATGTTCATGAAGCAGGCCCTTTGCAGAACGTCACTGTCATCACAACTGCTGAAAAAAACTCTTCTAGTTTTCCCGCCTCGTTACTTTCATATTCAGAGAGTCTTATATCCTGTGCCCATCTTCATGTTTGTTGGCACTTAATGTGACAAAAATATTTCAGCTTCTGAGACAAGATGCTGTTTATTATAAAAGTGTCCTTGATGTTCAGATCTTTTAAAATGTCAGTATTTCTTCTTTTCTTTGTCCGTGGTATTCTGAGAATCTTTCTATAGCATTTCAGCTCAAAAGCCCCTATTTTCTTTCTTAAGGACTGGGAGATTGTTCATGAACCACATCTATATGTTGCAACAGGGAAGATGCAGGCTCTCAAAATTTTATTTTGATTTCCTTTCTGGTGCTCAACTTTTAATGCTGTTTAATCTTTGCATTGCTATTGCCATCCTCCTTTTGATTTCTGTCAAGCAGTCTTCACTGCTATTTATTGTAGAGCCTAGATATTCAAAGTTTTGTGACATTGTTAATCAATATAACTTTCATCAATGATAATGCAGCCATTGGGACTAGTTTCATTTAATCAAGCATCATGTAGTGAAATGGTAGCAGAGTTCCATATAATTTAGCTTACGACTAAAATATCTTATCCCAAGGGTTTTAGAAATGTAGAAGAAAGTCTATGATGTCTCCAAAGACAACAGCCATGTCCCTCTTTCTTTTTTGTTTCCTTAGTCATCATTATCTTATAGCAGGTCCTTTGCAGAATGTTGCTCTCATCACGTTCTGCCTGAAAGAAACCTGTCTCTTGCCAGCTCTCCCACCTTGTGTACTTTCCTATTCAAGAAGTCACTTATATCCTGTGCCCATCTTCGTGTTGGTCGGCCCCTGCCCCTTCTTCCTGGTATCATGCCTTCTGCTATAATCTTTTTCATTCTGCCATGGTACTTGATATGACCAAAATATTTCGGCTTCTGAGACAAGATGCTGTTTATTAGCCAATTTGCCTTGATGTTCTTATATTTTCAAATGTCATTTGTATTTTTCTTCATCAGTTTTCATCCTAAAATGATGGTTGGCCTTTTATGTTGTGGTTTACAGCTAAGCTGCAATATCAACGCCTTTTGGCCCAACACATTTGACTTCAGCGAACCCCTAATAAGATGTGTTATGCTGATTATTGACTTTCATTACAGTTTTCTTTTCTCTTGTTCCACAGATTGATGAATAATCCCATGCCCTAGTCACATTATTTTAACTGGATTGTAGAACAAAGTGCCAAAATGGAAAATGACACAAATTTTGAAGTAGAACTTTTGCCTTGGTATCACCCAACATTGAGTAGACATACAGCAGAAAGTATGCTGATGCAAAATGGAATGGATGGAACTTACCTTCTGAGGCCAAGTTCAAAAGGTAGTGGAGAGTATGCCCTGTCGGTCAAGTGTGAGCAGGCAGTGAAACATTTCAACATTGTATGGACAGGATCTGAAATCAAATTTGGCCAGTGTACTTTTCAAACAGCTTCGGATTTTGTTGAGCATTTCAAGAATAAACCGCTTCTGTGTGGGGAATCAGGTCAAGTGGTTCTCTTGAAGATTCCTTACCCACGAGACATCAGTGAGCCAGATATGTATGAGTCTGTTACTTTACATGCTGAATTTAGCACGGCAGAAGATTCTCGTATTATAAACACTGATTTTTCCCTCAACTCCAAGGAAGGCTTCCTTACAAAGATGGGCCGCCATTTCAAAACCTGGCGAACAAGATGGTTTGTTCTTCAACGAAACGAGCTAAAGTATTTCAAGCAGAAATTCAGCAAAAATCCTATTCGTGTTTTGGATTTAAATGAATGTAAAGAATGTTGCCAGGATTTCACTCAGAAAGACAAAAGCTGTGTAATTAAATTAGATATGGGCTGGCGCGTCTTTCTGTTGTACTCCGTGTCAGAACAGGATATGGATGACTGGATCAAGCGTATAAATTGGCGACTGAGAGCAAATCGCACACGTGGCAGCATTAATTCTGGAAACTCAGGAAACTCATGAGAAAGTACTTTCTGCAAAAGGCGCCAGATTTTTTCTTATAGTTTTCCTTTTTGAAAGTATATTTTTCTATTTACTTGTTGTGATGATTGAAGATAATTGTATTTTCTTCAAATGTGTTAATTATTTTTTAAAAATTTGCTACATGCACACACTATTTTAAATATTACCCTCTGTTATCTTTTCACATTTGTGTAGAAGATGGAATGGTAGATCTGCAAGAGTTAACCTGGTCTGATCAAGGTTACACATTTTTTCTGCATCTTCTCCTCTTCCTCTAGCTCAGGGATATTCAGCTGGTAGCCCTGTGCCAAATTTGGCCCGCCAAGGCCTACTAGTGGTCCTCGGATCATTGCCAGTGGTATTGATGATCTCTCTATGCAGGGGCTCGGTTCTCTGGCCCGTGATTATCACCATTTCAGTATTTGGCTCCTGACAAAACTTAGTTGAATAGCCCTGTTCTAGTTTCTTAGGGTCTCTTCTTCTTCTTCTTCGCGTTCACTTCTGGACACCTATTCCTGTTCCAGGAGCTGAGTGTTGCATGCACATCCGTTTCACAGGCCGGATTCATTTGCATGCAGACTGTTGGTTACTGGCATCTCAGACAGATGTACTCTGATTTCAAAGAAGTTTCTTAGGGTAGAGTATAAAATAATTATAAAATTAGGAAAAGGTAATCTTTTGCCTTCTTACATGGCAAAAGGGTTAAATCTGTGCAACTTTCATTGTGTAATCTCATTTCTCATAATACTATTTATTGTATGTTTTATTTGTTCTGCTTCGTATTAGTGAACTTAACACAGTTCTATTTATAATCTCTTTTGGAAGTTTTATGTACTTATTCTTGTCAAAGGAAGCATTCATCTTTAAGATTAACTGAGTCCCAGAGACTTAACATCACAGGCTCAAGGGGTAGTAAAGAGAGGCATAAATTCAGCGCCTCATCTGTTCATTGGGCGTCTAGGTAAGAAACTATTAAGGTTTGATGAGTTCCTTGGGACTCAAAGAAATTATGCTGAATATTCATCACAACAGCATTCTACCGGTGTCATAGGTCTATGGTAGCCTCTAAACATTTAGATGTAACTCATGGGTAAAAGTAAATTGTTTTATTGCCAATAAGGATCAGCCAAAAGGGGTTGAATGGAAGTTGACAAAGAGGCAGACTAGGAAGACAGTTGAAAGATCTAGAAGCCCTTGGAGTCATCACCTGGAAAGAGAAAGCCAGTCACAGAAAATATAGGCAGATAAAATTGGCAGTAGTTAGTTAGTTAGTTAGGTTATCATCATTGCATTCAGGATTTGTCCACAGGTGCTCAGATCCTCCATCAGTATGAACCTCTGCATCCGGTGGCTAATAGTACCAGTTCTATGTTGATTAACAAGCTCTCTGATGTGCATCTCGTTTTTTGCTATGCCAGTCTTAACTCCCTAGTCTATCATTCTGGCAAGTGATGGGGATTCACTGCCCCCAAAGTTCTCCACCCTCCCCATTTCTCGTAGGGCATTAATAATATCAGCATGAGCCATAGGTTGACCATCGGTAGTCATAACAAATCCAGACAACCTATTATCGGCATTATATTAACTGTAAGGGCTCTAAATGCTGAAGAAGAAAAATGACCAGCCAAGAAATGGCTGCATCAAGAGCCATAACTATTTTTGGATTCTGTGAAACAAGATAAGAGCAGGCTGAAAATCTCTAACAAATTTGCCTAGAAAAACCGCAACAGCAAAAATGCTAGGGTTAGTTCTGCAATGTCCTGTAAAGGATACACAACTAACTTTCAACATCAGTTTTTTATGCTACATCAAAAGAATAGGTGTCAGTAATCAGTAATTTCCTGTTCAAGAACTCTGCATTCCTCAGCTTTGCTGTTTGCATTTTAAGGAAATATACTGTATTTTTCCATGTAAAGGACTATATGTTTTTCAAGATTTTAAAAGTTTAAAATTGGAGGTCAGTTATACACAGAATGTGTTTAAAATATTTGTTTGTTTATTTTGGGGGTTTTAAAGAAAAAAGGGTTCGTCTTATACACAGAAAAATACCACAATTAGTAACATGCACCTCTTGGATGCAGCAGATTTGTTTTATCTTGTTCCCTTGTTCCTGCTTTAAAAAAAAAATTTTTATTGGGGTGTGGATATGTAGTTGCTGGCTTCCATATTTAAACATATGATGCTGCAGCTACTATTTTTCTGAAAAACTGCATTCTTTTGTGGTTTGTAAACTGAAAACAGAAACTCTAAATAGTTAACTGTTCTGTACTTCAGGACAGTTATACTTAGTTACAACCAAATTATTTTAATTTCATTTTTTTTTTTTTTTCAAAAACAGTCAACCAAATATTTTAAATAATATCCAGGTTTTTTGTATGTTTATAATTTCAAATTATACCCTCCTTTCAAAATGTTATATCTGTTTAACATTACAAACAATGTAGTATTTGTTGAAATTCTAATAATTGAAAGGCTGTTTTTATGTACATATAATCTTGTGCAATTGTAAAGCATGACAAGTAGATCTTTTTTTTTGCTAGTTTACGTTGTCTACTGCTTCATTAGTTATGTTGTTTTGTGTGTGTGTGTGTATAAACCAAGACAGGTTAGTTGCTGTAGATTTTAGTTAACTAGACTTCATATAATAGCAGTGCATGTAATTTGGTGTGGTCTTATTGTGTCAAATTACTTGATTTTATTATGATCTATAAGCAAATTCTTACCATGTTTTTTTTTTGGTGTGAATATGTTTTTCACTATGATTACTTGCCAGTTTACTTTTAAAATATTGTTTGCCTTTTTATGTTTAGTTACTACACTTTTTAAATCAAAATAATTGCACTGAAATATTCAGAAACAGGATCATAAATACATATATTATAATTCACTGCTCACTGTCCATGCTGGATGAAATGACATGGTGGGTGTATTTTGCATGTAATGTGGTTTAGTGTCTTTTATACTGAACAATGGTAAAATATTGTCTTTCAGACTAGACATAATTGTATATTTTACCCTTTGTACTAGATAGAATTGTGTAATATACCATTTTAAAATAGACATATGGTATATTACACCTTTTGTATGAGAGAAAATGGTATATTGTACCATTTTATACTAGATAGAATGGTATAATGTACCTTAATAGAAAGGTTAGATGCGTATCCTTTACAGGATGTTGCAGAACCAACCCTAACAGCCCCTGGCTGTTGTGTGGTTTCTCTGGGCAAATTTACGTCCAGTGGTTTGCCATTGCTTTCTGGACGGTCGGCTTTCTTGATACCACTGTACCTTAATATAACTTTTTAAAGGAGACAAAATAGTACCAGACAGAATGGCTCAGTATACCATGTTCAACTAGACAGAATTGAATAATGTACATCAGGGCTATTCAGATGGCCACCCGCGGTGTAGATTTGGCCCGCGGATCACTGCCAGTGATATTTTGTTACTGATCTTTCTATGCTGGGGCCTCAAACCTCTTGCTCCCTGAGTACACTTAGTTGAATAGCCCTGATATACATTCACATAGTGTGCGTGCCTTTTATATTTACAAAAAAAAAATGTGTATAATATACATATAAACTGGCTGAGTGCTGTATATATCTGTTTCTAGTCTTCCATTACCTGTTGAAATTCTTCCACTGTTTACATTTGCTGTTGTTGAGATAAACAAATTCTGTTGTTAATTCTTTCAGTACCAGACAGCACACTATACATTTATTGGTTATTCTATACATGGGGAGGGAGGCATGATTGTATTGTGGCTTGCTTACCAGTCCGAAGGTCTTGATTTCAAATCTGCACCATGGCAGATGTTTTTTTTTTTTTTTTAGAACTGACCTCAGCTCTGAATTTTTCTAACACCTAAAATGGGTACCAGGTAATTCCCAGGAAGTAAAGGTGGCTGAAACGATGTTGACCATATCACCCGTTGAAGGTTGATTGATCTCCAAAAATATGAGTCTAGCAGCATTTGCTTGTTGCCCTGCTGGTGTAAAAGGGGCCTTTATTTTACTGGGGGTGTTTGTGTGTGTGTGTGTAAAGGATATGTGGTGTACATTTCATTTCACTCAGGCCATTTATAACACTAATCTATTCTATCTGGTGGCTAGTTGAGGTTACAACTTCTTTTGCAGACGGGTTGCCCCACAACTGCTCCATTCCTATGCCAGTGAAAATCACACAAAATGTCCCCCATTCTCCTATTTGAAAACTAATAAAAACCATGTCAGGCTCAGCAAAATCGTTAAGCTCGCACATGCAAAATTAATGTGTAAGGCAGCTTTCATATGTGAACATTAACAGTCCTACACCAGAATTGCAGCTCACTTTGATGCAAGCAGTCACTTATGAAAGCTGGCATTGTTAACATAACACTGCATCAGTACATGCCATACCAAAGGTTGATTGGCCACCCATTATGATTAGTGCAGTTCACATCACAAAGCCATCATGGGCTGAACAGAAAAAAATATTCCACTGTCTAGAGTGTCACACCAAGCACTTAACTCAGTAGCCAGGCGACAAAACCTTTGGACTTCCTGTCCAGAAATGGGGAATTGGCATCATCAGTTTGCCAGTGATTTGTCATAGTGGACCTAATCTATAATCTGTTCTTATTGTTAATTTTAAATCCTTCTGTTCCATAGTTATATTATTATTTATTCTAAATTTTAACAACTTTTGAATTACAAGAGTTGAAGTAATAGCTATCTGGACTGAAAGAGTTAACATAAATATCTACATGTGTGCTATTGCCTTTGCTGAGACTGCAGTCTCTGTTTAAATTTTTGTTGGTGCATAGAACAGTGATGAGCATTCCTTGGGGGTTTTTGTTGGCAAAGAAACAAAACAAGTATGGAGTAACCCATTTGCTGTGGAGCTGGATCTGCAGTTATTTGATGAACAGCATAAGTGTTTTCTGCTGGTCTTGTCATTGTACAGTTGTTAAATTGATTAATTGTGTCTTCCAGTATGACTGTTGCTGATTTTCTTTC